TATATATATGTGTGTTTGTGTGTGTGTGTGTGTGTGTGTGTGTGTGTGTGTGTGTGTGTGTGTGTGTATACAAAGAAACATCCAAGAAACATCCAAGAGGGAGTGGTGGCGCAGAGGTTGGAGAAGGTGGGCCTGTGATTGGAAGGTCACCGGTTCGACCGAAAACATCAAAATGTGGGTGGAAAAGATGAAACACCTACACCTGCCTCCACCCTCATTTGTCCCACTCTGGGTCCTTGAGCAAGGACCTTAACCTCCACCATTAAACATATACTAAAGCAGTTAGTCTGAAAAAAATATTTTGAATAATGAATTAAAAGCTAGAAAACTGAAAATATTTCTGCATAATGTGAAAAACAAATATAGAAATCTTTCAGAAACACCTTACGTTACCAAAGCCCTGCAGCAGGAGCACAAACTGGTCCTTGAAGCACGTCGGACACTTTTACTGTGGAAACTGAGGAAACGCGTGTGGAATGATTTCTCTCAAAAGAAGAAACATGATGAGGACTTCATGGAACGAGACTAAAATCATAAAAAATACATCAAGTACATAAAAAAACCTCAGCCTTGACCTTCAAGTCAAACTTATTGAGATTCTGGAGGCAATTAGTAACAAATAAACACAGACAGAAGTTTTTGTTGCACAAACATCCTCGAAGCAAAGCTGCAGTCTCTGTGGAGAGCTGAGCCCAAAGCTGGAGGATTCCTGGAAAGAGAGGCAGCTGTGACCTCTCCTCTTCCTCTCCTCTGTCATCTGAGCACCTCAGAGGAGCAGGTCCGGCGTCAGACCTGGATGCTGAGTCAGAACCGAGCCTGACATCAACCTGCCACGGTCAAACACATCTGTGGGTGCAGTTGTGTTCGATAGGAGAGGACAAGCCTTTCAGCTGGTTCGCAAAGAGACGGAGGAAAAACAAATGAGCAAAATAAAGATTAGGAAGACGGAGTGCTTGTTGGAGGCCTCCTCTCTGCTGCACCCAACACAAACAACAACACAAACACCACAACACAAACATTTATCGCTGTACCCACTGCATCATTGTGTAAATGTTTATGAAGCATTCACACAAAGATGTGATCAATTTTTCTTCTGTACATTTTTCGGCATCTTTCTCATTCCACATTTTGTGTGCTGTTTCAGCTACATCATCATCATCATCACGTTTATTGTCCTCTTAGGGAAATTTTCATTGCAGTGAGGTGGCAAGAAAATTAAAACACAACACATAACTGTTTTTATGCTAATTTTAGCTTTTTTCAGCTAATTCCATTTTTTTTTTGCACTAATTTCAACGTTTTTCAATGTGCTTCCTCCACTTTCTTCTGGTAATTTAAGCTTCTTTCTGCCTTTTTAGCTATTTTTCCACTGTTTTTACTAATTTCATCTTTTTTCAGATAATATCCACCTCTTACAGCTTCTTTCTCATAGTTTCAGCTTTTTTCTGCTCTTTCAGACACTCTTTAGCTCTTTTGATGATAATTTTAGCTTTTTCAACTAAGTCCACACTTCTTTCAGGTAGTTTAAGCTTCATTTAGCCTTTTCAGCTACTTTTTATTTAGCTAATTTCTTATTTTTGCACTCAATTCTGCTTATTGTACCCAATTGGGGGGGAGTGGTGGCGCAGAGGTTAGAGAGGTGGGCTTGTGATCCGAAGATCGCCGGTTCAAGCCCCGGCCCCGACAACATCAAAATTGTGGGTGGGGTAGGTGAAACACCCACACTTGCCCCCACCCTCATTTGCCCCACCCTGGGCCCATGAGCAAGGCCCTTAACCCCCACCATGTGCTCCCTAAACAGGTCTCTCTTGAAAATGAGTTCTCATGGCTCAATGAGACTAACCTGGATAAATAAAGGCTAAATGAAAAAAAAAAAATTCAGTAAATATGTGTTCTTTCCGTTTTCTTCTGCTAATTTAGGCTTGTTCTTCCATTTCAGCTGCATTTCAGATTTTTTTAAGCCAATTTCAGCTGTTTTTCCAGCAAGTTCTTTTGCAATATGCATTCACACTGCATTTTTACAGAAAATAAAATTTTTCTAGTTGACATTAACAATTGTTTATCTGTGTTCACACTAAAAATGTATAATCGATCATTCATTGAATAGTGAGGAGAGAGGTGGGGGTTCATATATTATATATTATATATATTAACATTATATTTATATATATGTGTTATATATATAAACAACAGCTGTGAGGTCACAAACTATTGTTTATTTTACATTATTAAGGCAATATGAGAGAATCAGGCAGAAAGAGCACGACTGCAGAGTGGGAGAAAAGTTAGAGATGAAGACAAAGTCACGAGACGCCGATCTTAATCCTGGTCATTCTTTTAGAGCGAATATTCAAATAAGTTATAAAGATCTCTTTAAGTCATCTACATATTTTGATCGTATTGAAAAGCCACATTTATTTTTGCACAAAAACAACATTTCCTCACAAGTTTTTACCCATAAACATTATTTATTTTTCCAACCCGAACTTGATGTAAAGCTCCTTCACCTGCAGCCAGACGATGTTCAGACTTATTAAAATTAGGGATCAGATCGCTCTAACACAGCCTGGGCCCACTTCAGAGGAGTTCTGATAATCTGGCAGGTGGTCTGGAAGCCACAAACCTTCAGACACAACCAGTCCTGAGCGAAGCTGCTGGACCTCCTGAGGTGACCTCACAGGAGCAGCCGACTCCACTGGATGACCTGATGTTTAAAATTCTGAAGATGCTGCCTTTTTTGTTAGTTTAGTTTTTCCAGAGTATAGTTTTAATTAGCTTTTTAAAAACACGCTTCTTGTCCATTTTGTATAGATTTGATCAGAGTGAATTACTGGGCATTTATGGGACGTTTCTCTTTGCTGTTGTTCAGCGCCCTCAGACGACTTCTGCTGTGACTCCGCTCCATATAAATAAACTGAACTGAATCAGTTTATGTTTGTTTCTGATTGTTTTTGGACCCGCTGTGGTCTTAATGCTGAGTTAATCATGCTTCAGCTACCTTGTACATTCCCTCACATCTGATTGATGAGCTTTTCCTCCTTCGGCTGATTTTACAACTCTTTAGATGAGTCAGTCCCTCTGCCGTCTGCTGTTATTTCAGCATCGGCTCCGTGAGTCACCTCCAGCCGCAGCGAGCGCTCAGGACTCACGTCTGTTCTGAAACTCATCTGCAGTCCTTCACAAGAGACATCGAGGTTTATGGACCTATAGTTCATCCCTTGTTCATCGCCATCAGTCTTCTGTTTTTTCAGGCACATTTTTCTCTTAAATCTCCAGAACCATGAAGTTACTTACTGGACAGAACCAAGCTTGAAGCTTAACCTTCTTTTGCAATCACTGCGACTGTTCAAGTTTTCTGATGGTGCAGTGACGAAAGCTGCACATTCATCTTTGCAGCAATAAATCAGTTTAAGACTGATGGTGTTGGCATCTTCAGATGTGCCGTCCTATGAAACAGTGGGGATTTTAGCCTCTTTGTGGGGGGTGCTCAAGCAACCTTAAATTTTAACTCAGCACCCCTAAAAAAATAAGAAACCATTCATATGATTTTATAAGAAAGTTCTCAAACTTTAGATTCACCAAAATATTGAATAAATTTGGAATAAATAATGACACTCTTAACCAGGCCAGTAAATTCTATGATTTTTTTTTTACACGTCAGATCCTCAATGCCACCTGTCAATCAATCTAGTAGGCGTGTCAGCAACTGACCAATCAGTGATCTTGATTTGTCCCAAAGTGAACGCCCCTTACCTGCAGTAGCTCCACCCCCTTTTCCACCGATAGCACTGTCAGGGTTTTGCTTTAAGGGTGCTTTGCAGATAGAGGGGTTTCGTAAAAAATCATCAGAAAAAATGTTTAAACTTTGTCAGTGAAGAACATGTAATTCAGACTCGTTACCCTGAGTGTTTAGAGGATGTAATACAGTTTATTCCATTTCCAAAACCTAAACAGAGTCTGGAAACACGTAAAAGATGATAAATCACTGCGGCCGACCTCATGATACAACAGTGATAAACAGGAAGTACAACATGTTCATCTGTTTAAAGGTAACTGCAGGTAAATCCTCCATTTTCTGTCATAATTACATTGTATGTTTAATGGTTAAATTAAAGGTTAATGCTCAAATTTGTTTTGAGTCCTTTATATGTTGCAACTTTTGGTTGCACAAGTTTAGTCTTTGTTTGTTATAATCAGTTAACACTAAACTGATTCTGTACATATCGTTTTTTAGATTGTGTAATGTAAAGCAGAGCAGTACGTCTGTAGCATCTTAGCTAGCACATCTGTATTGTGTGCTGCTAGCTTGGCGCTACTTCTTGTTGCGTCATTAACTCTAAAATAGTTGTTGAATCATGTAGGTAAATATAGATGTTTAAAACCCGTTAAAATACACCAGAATGCAGGAAATAGCATCTACTTTACTCAAAATTGTCTTCTTCCCCAGACCCCCCCATCAGTGTCCCACTGAAAGTAAGTTAAAACAAGAGTTTAAAACTTTTTTTTTAATCTGTCATACTTTGTTATTCATTACACAAGCATTTGAACAAAAAGTAATAATATACTGTGACTGAAAAAAAAGAAATTAATTCGACTTAATTCGTATTAGGATGATGAAACAAGAGGTAAGAACCACGTGTTAGTACAAATCTTTAGTCAAACCCAAACCAATAAAACCAGAAGAGTTACACAATGAGAAGAACGCAGAAATCCTGCAAACCAACACGATGTTCAGTAAACGTCATCTGTGAATGCTGTGTACCTGATCGTCTTCCCCTCCCTCAGGTCATAGAGGGAAAAGAAGATGTCCGTGTCTTCTCCGATGCTGTTGTAGGTGAAGCTCTTCAGATTGACCAGCAGGTGGTGCGGAACTGGAACCCTGCAAGGTTCTCCATGTCTCTGCCGAGGGTTCTCACCCTGGAAATCGATACACTTTATCAACAACTTAATCCATTTTCAGGTGAGATGAGTTTGAATCGTATAAAATAATTACCATATAACTCTATAAAACATCTGGAATATAATCAAACAGGTTATTAAATCTCATTTGCTCTTCTTTTGCATAAAAACTAAACAGCCATTCATTCATGGTTAAAGTTACACCAGCAGATGTACAGAAAGACTGAATTCCCTTTGCTGCTGGGTTCCTTCTAAAAATCATGTGAATTTGTTTAATAACCTGTGAGAAAATAAAATATTCTGTATCTATGGTTGTGGGTTTTAATCAGCATTAATGTGAGTTTTAAATACCAGCAATCAGGACAACCAGTTTATACTGATTGCATAAAATATGAAAATCTTTTAAAGGGTTCTTGTGTTTTGTGACCAAATGTTGACTAAATTCAGTTTAAATTATGTATTAAAAATTGGACAATATACATTAATTCAACGTGAGTAGAGTAACTGGCTCTCTAACGAGGCGCACGCGTTTCTCCCCACTTCCTGTTCTCCTCCTGCTTTTTTGCTCTCTGTCTGTGTATCGGAGCAACGCCTATTTTTACACATCTTCCGAAATGAAAATGGATCTGACCAAATGGACTTTCGACGCAAATGACAAAATCTTTTCAACAAAGCGACACGGTCCTGGAGAACCCTCATCTGCTCGTACGACACGCATGCAGCTGGATATATCTCTGGGGGTGTTGTGTCCACCTCTGCTGTCGAACGAGGACGTTGAAATTGCATATAACTGGATTTTTGATAACAAGTTTCCTGTTTTTGGAATAGTCTGGATCCTGGTTTATCAACATACAAAGAAGATGGCCACAGCTAATTTGGACCTGGTCAGGCTGCTGCCTATGCAAATGTTGGTTCGTGCTTGGAGGACTCAAAATCAGTTGATTTACGAGCGAAACCGTAAGTTGGAAGTGATTTGTATTGCAGGCCACCTGCGACTTTGGGACTCGTCAGCATGGAAACGACCTAGAGGAGGCTCGTAAGCACGGCCCAGTAGAATGCACCCTAATCCGGCCATTTCGGACCTTGGAAGTACCAGTAAAGACTCAAGGCTGACAAGGAAAAATTGTCTGCCTGAATAAATCAACAATTGTGGACTATCTGAATCTGACTCCCCGGTTGGCCTCGAAACAGGCCGACTTATCAAGTTCTCATGGGAAATGTGTAAACTAAGGAAAAGCTTTGTTTATTGCACACACACACCCCCCCCTCCCCTCTGTGGAGGCTTATCAGAACTTTGCCGGTTGACCATCATCTCATCAGGCCAATGGACTATCTGTTGGTGCTTCATGAACTGCCTCATTTATAGCTGCAGCTTCGTGCACTACGCCCATCTTTCGAACGGCTGCATGAACATATTCTCATTGTGTCTCGGTGCAATGAGAATAAAGCTTATTCTGATTCTCATTCTGATTCTATAAGCACGTCGGTGTAAACGTGGCAGATTTGACGGTCCGGACTCATTTTCCCCTGCTGTCCCTGCCAGGTTGATGGTACAAGATAAATATATAAAACAGACAAACAGTAACAAAAGTCACACAACTTACAGAGCAAAATTACTAATGACTTTGTATATATCTAAAGATATATGAAAAATAAATTTATAATTACATATTATAACAGAAAAACTGAAGAGTATCAGTAAATTACACATCGTCAGCATATTGAGTAAACAATCTGAATCCAGGTTAAAGTAGTAAAAGCAGGTTTTCAATGTTAAATATGTAAATTATTATATTATATTGCGTAGTTTTAACTCGTCACTACGTGTGTCAGGTTTGTTGAAGTTTCATACAGCAGGGGAACGAGCAGACAGTGTTTGAACCTCGTTACCTGTGTGGTGCTCTGCTGGACGCTGTGTCTGCTGGACAGATGCTGGAAAAAGACAAAATATTAGATTAGGAGTTAATCTCATCCCCTCCTCCTAAATATCTTCTTATCTTCACTCTTCTCCTGTGGCTTTGCTTCCCTCTTCATTTCATTTATGCAGATTTCCCACAAAACTTATTTTAATTGTTCACCATCTGTTTTCTTCTATTATCCTGGTTCATCCTCTCCTTATATTTAAATGTCTTTTCTCTCCTTGTTTCCTTTCCTCATTTTAAACTCCTCCTCATTCCCTCTCCTTCTAACCTTTCTGATAACTCCTTGTTCCTTCTGCTCATTCCTCACTCCAGTCTTCTCTTGTTTATTTTGTCTGCAACTGATTTCCTCATGAGATGAAAATGCTTTGATACCCCAGGGACTCATTACTCCAACTTGTCTCTTTAATTTGTCAAGTGTGTGTGTGTGTGTGTGCGTGTGTGTGTGTGCGTGTGTGTGTGTGCGTGTGTGTGTGTGCGTCTGTGTGTGTGTGTGTGTGTGAGCAGGGAGGCAGCAATAAGTCAGAAGCTGTTTAATGAATTGAAGCAAAGAGCAGCTGACGGCACAACAACCGGAGAAACAAATGAGCACCAGACTGCAGCAACTCTCTCGTTGTTTCTTTAACACTGCACGTTTATCCATCAAAACAGCAGATGCCTAACAGAATAAAAACTATGTTTCCATCCATCCATCCATCCATCCATCCATTATCTTTACTCGCTTCTTCCTTTTTGGGTCACGGGGGTCACTGGTGCCCATATCCAGCAGTCCCTGTGAGAGAGGCTGGACATGTCTCCAGTCCATCACAGGGACACGCAGAGACAAACGAGACAAACAACCATTCGATAGCTATGTTTACATGGACATAAGTAATCGGATTAAACGGCCATTTGGAATAAAAATGTGTCATGTAAACACCCCATTCAGATTATTCTGAGCTGATTCAGCTCGATCCGAATGAATTTGCAATCCGAATGAGAAGGGTGGTTTATGCCGAGTCATAATCTGAACGGTGTGCATGTACACACTCAATCTGATCATTTCATTCTGATCATGGGAAACTGACCTGACTGACATCACAGAAGCAGAACTTCTTCTTATGTGGTTTTTTAAGGTGAGTTTCCCACTCTGTGCATGTCAGTACTTCTATTCTGAATAAAAGCCCGGTGCATGTAAACTCTTGTCATGAACGGATTGTGCCCATGAAAATGATACATTTGGATTATTTAATCCGAATACATTTCAATCCGATCAAAGAATTTTGCACATGTAAGCATAACTAATGTCTCACTTACACCTAGAAACAATTTAAAGTTACCAATCAGCCTAACATGCATGTTTTTGGTCTAAAACCCACACAACATGGAGAGAACATGCAAACTCCACCCAGAAAGGCCTCCAGGCCGGGATTTGATCCGATGACCTTCTCACTGAGAGGCAGCAGCTCTACCAACTGAGCCACCGTGTCACCCGCCTTCATGATCAGTATCAAAAACAAACTGAACATAAATCTTTTGATCACATCTGTTTGAATATCATAATTATCTTAAGGTTGATTTATACATTTCAATTAAAGGCCAGATTAAAAAGTTTGCTTCCATCCCTCCAGAATTACGAACTTGTTTCTGGTTAAACGTTCCAAATAATCATTAAATTAACAAACTGTAGAAGATCCATGAATCGTGTCTTTACATCGCGATAGTGACAGTTAAGAAATATAAAACTAAACATCTTCAGAGAGGACTGACTTAAACCATCAACAATTAAAAAAATAGATTTTTACGTCTGTTTGTGTTTAATTTTCTTTTCTTTTACTTTTTGCCTCATCTTTGAAGATGAAATCTGGATTAGAAACTGTATTTTCTGTACTTTTCAGACAGTTGTTGCTCCGTTTCTGCGTGTTCTCTTCCAGCTTTCATCCCAACATTTAACAACTTTCTTTTTTCCTTTTCCTCTCGTTTCCACATCAGTCTGAGCAACAGATGATCAGAGACTGCAGTGTTTTTAAAGCACGATCGACGCAGAGAACTTCAAATGTTACTAAAAGACCATGAATTATCAAAGACATGTCTCAGACTCTCGAGCCAACATTAATCCGCTCAGACTCTTTTAATATAATATTTATCACAACAGACATCTGGTGCTTGTTCAGACATTCTACTCAAAACTAAAATCGGATCAGGCGTAGGTACAGATAAAAAAAACAATAACAGGATTTTATTTTGTTTGGATCAGTCGTTGGGATCAGGACTAAATCAATTTAAATGTACAAAACGTGCTAATGTTTTATTCTCACATTAACATTTTACAAAAAAATATATAAAATATTCTTAAATAATAATAATAGTATAGTTATTAGGCTATTTGTAATGTAATAATGCCCTTGATAAAATAATTATTAGCAAAGTCTGTTTTAGTAAACTTGTAATATTTGGGGTCACAAACATCTGCAGCTGACACATCTGGCAGCTACAGATCAATCTGAGCCACAGCTCAAACTGTTGGTGTCGACAGGAAAACATTTAAAATAGAAAAAAATCAGCACAAACTGCAATTTCTGACGAATTTGGCGATTTTGTTTTCCCGAAATCACTTTGGATTTGTTAAACAAATCAGGAAATTACAAATAATTTCTCCAGTTCACACTTTTCTGACTTACAGTGGTGGTCCTGCTGCAACGCTGCGTTCAATGACTACTAGGATTACAAATGGTTTAATCTGAAATTATTTAATTCAGCATTTCTGTTTTGGTGTTCACCTTGTTCTTTAATTTTATGTAAATCCCTTTGACCTTTGACCTTCCAGCTGCTTCCTCAGGTACATCAATTCATGTGGTGGCAGCTGGTCACAGATTTTGCTTTTTTTTTTTTTTTATTTCAGGAAACAATCATCATCACCATGAGATGAAGATTGCACAGGTTGTGCTTTGTGAATATTTTTGCGCCGGTCTTTTTGATGTTGCAACAAGTACGTTTGAAATTCAGATTTCAGCTTCTGTGAGGAGAGAAATACAGAGTTCACAAAGTGAAGCAGGATTATAATTTTACAGTCGGTTCAGATGGTCTCCAGGTCACAGCTGGAGACACCTGCAGATGTCTGTCATCATATTTACACATGATGTGCAGATAAGAAATGTTGGTCAACTGAAAGAGTTTTTACATGTGAATAGGAGATAAATAAAAAATAATGTTGCCCTTTCTTAGAAAAATACTGTTTGTGTCTAAAAAACATCACTGTCATGCTGCTTTTTAGCAAAAAGATGAAAAACCAGATAAAACCTGGAGTTGGTGTCAGGAGACACAATCAAAGCAGCTAAAACACGTCAACAGGTGGATGATCAGAGAGCAGGAAAAACAGATCTTTGCCCAGATAAGACTTTAAAATCCTTCTTTTGTGAATAAATAAAATAAATAACAGGCAAAACGTGAAATGATAACTTAATGAGAGGTGCTCAAATGTACGAATCACTGATTACTTCATGTTTTTCTAATAAACACTTCTGCTGGAAAAGAGATAATTTTATGCGCCCAGTTATAAAAAGCACCTCGTGAAATGTAATTTTATATTTATCTGATCTATAGTCAGGAAGGTGGAACAGACACAGCTGGATGTTAAAAAAATATTTTTTTCTGTAATCTTTAAGGTATATTTTAATTTTATTAAATTCAAATACAAAATAAAATCAACAGAGTGAGTTCTTAATAAGCTCAGACTAAACCCGACATCTTGTTTAACATTTATAAATAATTTAAACTAAAGTAACTCCATCTTCAACCACTTATCCATCATGTTGAGAAGGCAACAGGTCCAGGAGAGGAACCCAGACCTCCCCAGCTCGTTCTGGGGGGCCCCAAGGCGCTCCCAGACCAGAGAAGTTAGTAACTTCTGGGTCTTCCCCGGTGCCTCGTACCAGTGGGACGTGTCTGGAAAACCCCTAAAAGGAGGCGATGGAGGCTTTCTAACCAGATGTCTGAACACCTCAACTGACTCCTTTTGATGCAGAGGAGCAGCGGCTCTACGCTTTTTGTAACTTTAATAACTTGAATTATTGAATATAATTTAGGGAAGTATTCCTTAAAGAATTATACAGAAAACGCCTCAAATCCTTCAAATAACTTTTCATTTTCTTCATGCTGTTATTTTTTGTTAATTTTATCTCTTAGCTAATGTTTTAATATCTAACTAGTTTTTTTAAGCAAATCTGAGCTTTTAGCTCCTGAGTTGCTAATTGTAGCATTTTGCTAACATTTTGTTATTTGCTGCTTTTATCTCCGTTACTCTAATTCATAAAATGTAACAACTTTTAGAGATTGAGGAAACTGAATTAAAAGAAAATCTTACCATCTTATAAAGATCTGACACACTTATCTGGTCTTCATCAACCATCTCAAACTCTTTCCTTGGTACCAAGTCCAAACCCAGATGTCTGAGAAACAGAGAACAAAGAGGGAAAGATAAGAATACAGTATATATATATATATATATATATATATATATATATATATATATATATATATATATAT